CCAAAAACACCCCAAGAGCGTTCCAAGAGGCGACGTGGGGGGCCCCCGACGGGCAACGCTAATTGCGACCCCCCCCTTCGGGGCCCAAGAGAGCCCCAAGACGGCCCCAAGACGGCCCCAAGAGCGCTCCAAGAGCGCGCCAGGAGGGGCCCAATAAAGAAACCATTTTCGGTGCTCCCGAAGGGGTGCCTTAATTGGCCCCCCCCCTTCTTTGATCGATCTCCTCCAAGATGGCCCCAACAGCGCCCCCAAGGCTCCCGAGAGCGCCCCAAGAAGCGCCCAAAAATGCGCCCAGACGGTTCCAGGAGCCCTCCAAGAGGTCCCCACCAGGCCCCTCAAAAGGCCCCCAGCATGCCTCAAGACGATCCCCGAGGCACCCAAGTACACTCTTGTTGCCCGCGCTGCTTGACTATATGCCTTTTTCCTCTCTCCCCCGTCAGCCCCCATGGGCATCGTTTCTGGATGGGCTGGTGGGGATAATGGTCCCAACCATCCTGTGGTGTTGGGTCCTCGTTTTGACGAGACAGCGCCCCGCGTTCCTTCCTCCTCCCGCTTCTCCCTCCCCCTCCCCCCTCCTCCCCCATCATTGCCTCTGCTCTCGGTACACCCCTCAAACGTTTCGCAGCCTCTTAGGGAGCTCCATCGAAGGTCCCAGTGAGGGGGCCCGCATGCGTCCCCCACGCCCAGCACAGCGCATCGTGGCCCCATAAGGGAGCTCCACCGAAAGCCCCAGTGGGGGCGCCCGCATGCGTAGCCCACGCCCAGGACAGCGCTTCGTGGCCCCATAGGGAGCTCCACCGAAGGCCCCACTGGGGGTGCCCGCATGCGCCCCTCACGCCCAGGACAGCGCTTCGTGGCCCATAAGGGAGCTCCACCGAAGGCCCCAGTGGGCGTGCCCGCATGCACCCCCCACGCCCAGCACAGCGTTTCGTGGCCTCATACGGATTTCCACCGAAGGCCCCAGTGGGGGTGCCCGCATGCACCCCCCACGCCCAGGACAGCGCTTCGTAGCCCCACAGGGAGCTCCACCGAAGGCCCCAGTGGGGGTGCCCGCATGCGTCCACCACGCCCAGGACAGCGCTTCGTGGCCCCATGGGGCGCTCCGCCGAAGGCCCCAACGGGGGCGCCCGCATGCGTCCCCCACGCTCAGGACAGCGCTTCGTGGCCCCACTGGGAGATCCACCGAAGGCCCCAGTGGGGGTGCCCGCATGCGTCCCCCACGCCCAGGACAGCGTAACGTGGCCCATAGGGGGCTCCACCGAAGGCCCCAATGGGTGTGCCCGCATGCGCCGCCCACGCCCAGGACAGCGCTTCGTGGCCCCATGGGGAGCTCCACCGAAGACCCCAGTGACGGTGTCCACTTGCGTCTCCCGTGCCCAGGACAACGCCCCGTGGCCCCATAGGGAGTTCCACCGATTGCCCCAGTGCCACCGCCCAGATGCGCCCCACCGTTCTCGGCACAGCGCTTCGTGGCCCCATAGGGGGCTCCACCGAAGGCCTCAATGCCACCGCCCACATGTGCCCTCCCGACTCAGCACAACGTTTCGTGGCCCCATAAGGAGCTCCACCGAAGGCCCC